TATGTATGTATGTATGTATGTATGTATGTATGTATGTATGTATGTATGTATGTATGTATGTATGTATGTATGTATGTATGTATGTATGTATGTCCTGCCTATCTGGTCAATTGTGACCACTCTGGAGGAAAACCTTAAGACTAAACCGGTTATCCTTAACTCACACCATCGCCCCACTGTTGTAGGATTTCGGTCATCATCCTAACTCACATCCAACATTTTTAACCAATCTTTTTTTAAAGAACATTTTTAAATTTTATTTCAACTACAAACACATATCTAAAATACAATACAGACACCCCAAACCCTCCTCCCCTTTGAGGACAGAGATTCAGACCTCATTATATTTCAACTTTCCCAGACTCCAGAGATCATTGAAAGTGAAAAAAGAAGAAGAAAACAAAACCCATCAATCATTTTGCCCTATCTTCAAGTCTGACCCCGGGCCCAAGCATGTATTAAGTTACAACTTCAGTTTGCATAGTCTCTTGGTTGATCTCGTAGCGCTTCTGATAGTGTATCCAGTTCTATAATGTCCAACAGCTTCTTCAGGGGCTCCTCCATTGTAGGCATGTCTTCACTTTTCCATTTTTGGGCCCAGAGTAACCTAGCTGCTATCAATATATACATCAAACAATATTTGATTTTCTTATCAGTAATTTCTGGCATAATATTTAATAATGCTATTTCAGGTTTAAAGTTTAGTTTCTTTTGAATAATTCCTTTTATCATTTCCCACAACAATTTTAACCAATCTTGAGATGATTTCCTCAGGTGGGAGCAGGTGCCATTGGTTTTTGTAGGGTTTCGGTCATCATCCTAACTCACATCTAACAATTTTAACCAATCTTGAGATGACTTCCTCAGGTGGGAGCAGGTGCCATTGGTTGTGAGCTCCTGAAGAATTTTACTATGATTGGTTTGGCTGCTGGTGAGGGCGGGAACATCACTGTGACAGACATGGACACCATTGAGTACTCCAACCTCAACAGGCAGTTCCTCTTTCGACCACAGGATGTTTCTGTAAGTCTTAAAGGGGAGAGATAGTGGGGACAATAGTTTGGGGTTGGGGAAGGGGCCAGTTTGGCTGTGGAACAAAACTTAACTCAGGGCAGAAGCTGAGGACCAAACTCTACAGTTACAGGCACCCTGTCATGATCAAACCCGTTAGTGTTCCAGAGATGTGATTGTGGCAAACTTTTGTGACCGAGTAAACAAAACCTGTGCTTAGCTTCTAGGGATGAATTCCAAACCAAAGAAAACTATCTGACAATGGGTTACATGTACAGTAGTATATAATTTGCCTCTTGTAAATTATTGCCAGAAATTATAAACGTTATTCCCTTGGGTTCTTAACTCTCAAAATAATCATTGGTTGCGGAGGCCAGGTTGTTCTAGAAGTTGCAGTAAAAGGAAAAGAAAAGAAGTGCAACATTTCGCATCCTTATGTTGAAGGACAGTCTTAAGTTCTGGCTCAGCTCTTCTGGCCGATGCTGTTCAGCAGTGGACTGTTTTTCTTGTCGCCCTGGATCTAAAATAATATCATCTTTGTCCTTGCAGAAGTCAAAGTCAGAAGTGGCTGCTGCCGCCATAAAGTCCATGAACCCCAATGTCAATGTGACTGCCGAGCAGAATCAAGTGGGGCCTGACACAGAGCACTTTTATGGAGATGATTTCTTCCTTGGCTTAGATGGTGTGGCCAGTGCTCTGGACAGCTTTGAAGCTAGTGAGTGTGCTGCAGTTGGATTACTTGCAATAGAAAAGTTTAAGTGTGGAATTGTGCTTACATAATCTCAGTAACAGCCAAGGAGTTCACATAATCTGAATAACATTTAATTAATATTCAATGAATCCTTTCAATTATTCAAAGTGTTTCACAGACAGAATCTGCTTACATTCAATAACCATGCAAGGCAAGCCATTATTATTCCCATACTGCAGATGGAAAGCTGAGACTGTGAGAACTGAGAACGAGGTGTGCCTAAAGCCACATCATGAGTTCCCAGTTAAACCAGGAACTCTCATAATGCAGTCGTATGCATGTTTCCTACTCCCAGGTATGCATGCATTATCATAGCTTAGCCTTTTAATGGTACAATCTCCTGTAAGTCTATTTCAATGTAATCCCTACTGAATTCACTGGGCCTTAAATCCTACATATCTGTGTGTATATATACATTTGATATAAACTATATATATTTTATCCTACAAACATGGCAAGGAGGTTCTGGGAATTATAGTTTAGAAAATAATTTCCTCAAGCTCTTTTGTATCAGGAGGTACAGGAAATGCTCATCCTTTTGCCTGCTGGATGTGTTGCCCATATACATGCTGGCTTTTGTGAAACATTGTGAAACTTACAGAAACATTTTCCAAACTATTCTTCAATATACAGAGAGTGAGGAATTGAAAAGAAATTATACAGGAGATGTAGAAAGCTGATGTATTCCTGGGGAAAGTATAAGATAGGTCTGCATTGTTGACTGTATTTTGCGGTTAGAGGTTGAAGGCTGGACTGTGTGTACGGAGGGGGGGCAGGGTGAGAGGGAGGGGCTGCTTCCAGGGTCAAGGAGGCTTGCATAAACAGAGCTGCTCTCACTTATTGATGAGATGATCAAAGGCATCTCAATTCACATCCAAAGTCCAGAGTCTTTGATGTGTCCTGGAAATCGTGCAGTCACAGAGTACACAGGGTTGTTATGTGATGTGCAAAGCACGAGGGGAGACATCCTAGGATCAGATCTCTGCACAGCCATGAACTCTCTGTGTGACCTTAGGCAAGACCAGGTCCTCATATTCCCAGTTCTTCATCACATTGCCAACTTCTTGAGCCTCCAAATCTCCTACTGTCCAGAGTATTCTATACATCAGAATTATACATCAGAGGGGAAAGCACAGGCTCCTATTGCTCAAATTCAGGGCCAGCCCTGTTATTAGGCGGCATGATAAAGTAGCTTCAGATGGCAGGTCCGGGGGGACAGCAATGGTGGTCACCCAACCTTTCTTCCAGATTCCCTTGGCCATCTGTCTCTGTTGGAAAAGAGGGCTGTGCAGACCTAATGGCTGTCCCTATCTTGCATCCTTCTGAAATAACTGGCCACCTGAAGGGGCCACACAGAGTGTGTCTGTATCAAAAGAAGAGTCATGTGCCAATTGAGTTTGCTTCTGTCCATGAGTTGGGGGAGAGGAACAATCTCAGTTGATCTTTGCCTCAGTCAGTCAAGCATCTTGGTCTGGTGGGGGCTCTGATTGCCATTGAGCTGTATTTAGGATGTTTCTGCTCTAATTTGTCTTCCTCCTGGAACAATTTCTGTCCTAATGGTCAGCTTTCAGTGTGATGGTAGTGAAGTTAAGAAGTCACAAAATGTTTCCTGAACATCCTTCCTTGATTTTTCCTGCAGGAGCGTACGTGGGGAAGAAATGTGTGCAGTACCTGAAGCCTCTGCTTGATTCAGGAACGCATGGCACCAAGGGGCACGTCCAGGTCTATGTACCCTTTCTGACCGAGTCTTATGGCCAAGCTCAAGAGGTGGACAAGCAGGAGTATCCTCTGTGCAGTCTGCGCCATTTTCCTAGCACCATCCAGCACACCATCCAGGTAGAGGCGCTGTTCTTCTTCACGCCGCCAACGTCCAGCCCTGCCCTTGGGCAAAGTGAGTCAATCTCCTCTCAGGTGGCAGGTGCTAGGAGACTGCAACACACTGGGGGAGAACATGGCTGTGGGCTGTGAAGCCACACGAGTATCCCCTAATGATGCTTCTGAGAGTGAAGGATACTGTCCTTCTGCCAGCATTGAAGAAGGATTCAACTGGCAGCTCAGCCAGCTTTTGAGCATGGAAGTGGAGGGTGTGCTATTTTGACTTCGCCTCTTGGGCCCTCCATGCATGCTGCTCTGTATTCTTTCAGCCCAGGGCCCACTTCTGGAGCAGCATCTGCCATCCAAGGCTCCTCTCCTGCCTTACTCTCCAGTTGGTCCCTCTCTACTGAGAGAAAGCTGTTCTTTGCTCTCAGCTGCCAAGCGGGACTCTCTGAGCTCCTTGCCTGGAACCTTGGCTTCTTTTTTTTTCCCCCAGGCAGCTGCTGCACAATGGCCAGGGTTGTCAGCAATGCTGACAGGAGGATACGGGGTCCAACTGTTTTGCTTACAAGCCCGGCCAAAAACATTTTTGCCCTCTTAGGAATTTCAGCTGCTTCTTCTGTTTGTGTGACAGAGGCAAAAACGAGAGTAGGCGCCTCCTTATCCTATAGCTCTGGTATCTTTTCAAACCCCGGGAAGAAGGAGAGTCTCCTGCTGAGCCCATTTTGTCTTGTCAAGTCCCTTGGGAGCAGGAGAAATGCACGCTTGGCTTCCTCCACGCCCAATATATGCCTTGAAATGGACCCAAGGAACAGCCGTAGAAAAGTCTCTGACGCTGCAATCCAGACCGCATTTCAGGAAATACACAGGATTACATTACACGTCACCGTCCTTCTAATGACCCAAGTAAATGCCGACAAGGCTCCCTTGCTTTCTCTTGCAGTGGGCCAGAAATCAGTTTGAGCATCTTTTCAAGGTGACGGCAGACAGCGTCAACAAATTCCTCCGGTCAGTGTGGGGCAGGAATCTAGCAGAGATGGGGTTGCAGATGAAGAGCCAGGATGAGCCATCAATGAGCACTGCTGTCAGCAGAGAGGCCTCTAGATGGTGGGCAGAGAAATTGGGAAGCTTGCCAAATGTTTGTATTCCACCGCCGCCACCACCCCGAGTGGCACTAGGGTCGTGGCTTGTTCTTCGACTGAGTACTCAGGACAGGAAGTATGGAGTTGCTTGGAGGACATTTCCAGTCTCTGCATAAGAAGGTGCGCAAGACTGAATGCCTTCTGTGGGGAGATCTGCACACCCCACCCACCCGAATGGATCTCAGTCCCTGTTGGCATCCAGAAATGATCACTAGCTCTCATGTTTGGGACTGGGGAGATCCAGATTCACATTCTGGGTAGACCATGACATTCACCTGGAATTAATCCACTTGCCTCCAAATTCCTAGGGGAGCAGCTATGTGAGTCTGCAGCAGCAAAAGGAATAAAGAACGTCCTTACAGCAGCAGACAAACACAGCTGCTCCTCTAGAAGAAACTGCACCTTGGTCTTCAATTCTTGTAGGACTTCCGCCCATTTCTTTGGGTCCATTTCCCTATGCCCACCTTTCAGGGAAACTTGCACGTGATTGAGATTGCATCTGATGAAGTGGACAGTAATCCACAAAAACTTGTGCCAAAGGCAATTTATTAGTCTTTAAGGTGCCCTAAGACTCTTTCCTTAAAATGATGTGTGTTGTTACACTTTAATATACTGATCTCCTTATCTACCTTTTCTGTCCCCTGCTCTTCCTTGATTTCAAATGGCCCTCAGCTCCTTCTTTCCTGTTCTTGTGGCTTTCAGCACTTGGTAGGAATCCACAAGGAGGCGGTTCCTTTGTGAGGCCTCTTGACTCCTAGCTCCTGTTTACTGAGGTTGGAACAGGTCTTTGGGAAGGAACAGCGGACCTTTTTGGTGGCTGCCTCAAAGCTATGCAGCCAGCAACCGAATGAGGTCCAGTAGGGTCTTACTTCCTGATTCCAACCTCCTCCACATGCCTGTAGGAAAAGTTACTTTTCTAAGCCCTGTGCACACACACACAGAGTAAGAAATATAAAGCTTAATTGTAAGCATTGGGTTTTGGAGGATAGGCTGATAACACCATCCATCTCTGTTTAGAAATGCATTATAATACTGAATCTAAGATTTAAAATGTTAGATGTTGCTTTAAATCATTTGTTTTGGATTGCTTTATCGGTGTTCATTAGCTACTTTGGAATATAGGGACAGAGTGCAGATATTTTGAATGTAAAATTGATACAAGCTTCTGGTTCAGAGTAAGCAGAGGGGCAAAGTGCCTCCCATAATTTAATGACAGCCATAGTCCATGCCCTTGTCCACAGAGATCCCACCTACCTTGAAGCCCGAGAAGGGGAGGCTTTGGAGTCGCTGGAGCACGTGCGAATCAGCCTTCAGGAGAAACCACGCAACTGGAAGGACTGTGTGACCTGGGCCCGGAGACTTTGGGAGCGTCTTTTCTCACATGACATCCAGCAGCTGCTGTACAACTATCCACCTGAACATGTGAGGCCTAACCATAGTCTTTTGTAGAGGCTCTGCTTTCCCCCCACTGATTTCCTGGCTCCTTGCCCACTGCTTTTTTTCAGAATACATTCCGCTTCTGTAATGCAGTCTAGAAGTCAGCAACAAAACGCGGTAAACTTTGCTGGCAGCTGCTTAGTCTCATGTATGACGACCACATGATGGTCTTCACACAGCCCATCACTCAGTGAAGCGTGCACTTGATTTGGGTTTTATTCCTGCCTGCTGGTAATATTAGGCCTCACTGCTCAGTCAAGCCTTGCTAGACCTTCGTCCTTGGAGCTGTCAGCTCATCTTTAGTCCCAGAAATCTCCATTATGGGTGTCCGGCAACTTCTTGGAGGCCCGCACATTTTGCACCCGCAGTGTGTGATTGCACAATTGCCTGGCTGCAGTTGGGCTGGAATAAAAGGGTGTATGATAGAGTATGAGATTTTGTCACACACAGAAAGCACAAGTCAGATGCTCCCATGGAAATGTGTTGTGGCCGGTGGAATGGACATAGTGGTTCTCTTTGTGGTGGCAGCAAGAACGATCCAGAACAGATGATTAGATATAATGGCTATCAGCTGTTAAGAAGATGGAGGCACTGAATTTGTTGGGTTCCTTTTTTGTCTCTCTGTTCTCTTCCTTTTAGAACACTGTGCTGGAAGTGCTATTCTTGCCTTACTGGATGAGTTGGATGTAATCTATATGTGTCCTGGCCTGTGGTTGGAACAACCCAGTTCATTGATTGATGTAAGACAGGAGGAGACTCGGGTCACTCTCCGTCCTTAGTCCTTCCTGTTGCCCCTGTTTGTGTACACAGACCTTTGACAGGACTGTGGCCTCAGCGGCATGTTCCATGGCACTTAAGCGGGAGTCAGATTCCCTTTCTTTTCCCTGCTGAATCTGTGTCTGTGTCCTTATCAATAATGATACTGTTGTGGTTTCTAGTATGCTTCCTCCATATCCCGAGACAACCTGTCACTCCCTTTATGAATTAACATACTTCCTTTGGCCCTTAAAACATACCATGGCAACTGGGTTATAGACATCGTCATTGATGATGAGCTGTAATCATTTTGTGGAAGGCCATTATGTTGTTTCACAAGTATCTTGGAGGAGCTGAATTGTATGGTGTTGCGAGGGAAATGGGTCCTGAGCCTCAAGTGCTTCTGTTGCCTTTCTGAAAAAGCAGCTAGATTCTTGGCTACTTCTTGGTCCAGGACTTGTTTTCTCTTCCCCGGCCACACCATTCTCTCACCTCTTTCCGGCGCTCAGGGTGCAAAAACACTTGGCGCTCTTCCAGCTTTGGCCCGTGAAGTTTCCTTCCTTGAACGTCTTTCCCCCTCACCCCGTCCTGTGCTGCTTCCTGACTGCTCCCATCTGCCTTTGTCCCTAGAAGACAAGCTTTGGACTTCCTTTCTGGTCAGGACTGAAGCGATGCCCTCAGCCATTGGATTTCGACTGCCGTAACGTGAGTGGGGGCTGAACTCAAAAGCGAAGGATGCTGGGAGGGAGACAGAGATTTGAACCCTCAGGAAGGAATATGTAGAAGTCAGGATATTTTACACTGCCAGGTTGGCCACTCATGTCAGTTTAGAAAGAGAGAAATGTAAATTTGCCCAAAGAGAAAATGTTAAATGTGTGGGGAATTACCGTCTGCTTTTGCTATTGCTGCCTGGAACAGGTGGCAGGACTCCAGCTGCTTTCCAGTTGTGCTGAAAGAAGCACAGACATGTTCCGAAAACAAAAACCTAAAAATAAAAATAAAATAGAGAAATGAGAAAAATATGTGTGGCCCTTGTAAAGGAAAAAAGATCTAAAGCCAATGAAGGGAATACCTTTACTAGACCACATGAATATCAAAAAGGGGTGACTTTTTGAGCCCTGTAGGGCTCTTTTTCAGAGTGGCCACTGCAGAGATGTTGGTGGTCAGGGCTGGGGGAATAGGGGAGGGGGGGAAAATCAAAGAACTCTCTTGGCCTGATGTTGAGGCTTCAGAATCTGCACTTCAAAATAATGTCCAAACACCTGTAGTAGACAGGAGAGAGTTTGACTCTGGTTTCTTCATTGTGGAAACACTGGATATCGCAACCAGTCCTGGATTCGTTTAGCATATTTAGTATGTAAGAATCCAGAATGCATTATATCTAGCAATTTGATTCCTGATTTAATGGCTGGCAGGTTTCACGAACTGGAATGATGTGTCAACAAGGGAGGGAGCAATAGGAGTGAAGCCAGATTCCCAACCCAAGTACTCCACTTGGAGATTTGATCAGGGACTCAGTGATGATGGGATGTAGCTGTGCCCTCTGACATTGTCGAACCCATGAAGGGGTGTAGAAGAGGAGACACACACACACACACTTGAGCTGTAACTAGAAATTTGGGCACCTGACCTCAATTTGGGCACGGGGCTACCTTTGAGGCTTCTCCTATTCACCCTGTGCTAAGTCACTGGCACGAGCACACACACCCCCCGAAAAGGATGAATGGAATGTGGTGCCTCCCCAAAGCAAGAGGAAGTTTCCGCTTTCAAAAAAAATGTTTTTAAAGGAGAGTGAATTGGATCAGGAGGCATTACCATTTGTTTTCCTATCACTCTCCAGTAGACTTCTCTCCAAATGTCAGTGCCCTCTAAATTTTTGCACCCTGGAGCAACGCCCAGGTCGCTTCACCCTTGTTACAGGCCTCCGTCTCCCATCTAGACATAGACATGGTTCTTTACCCTGGTTGTATAGGATAGGAGGGGATGCTTTAGATAGCATTGGAACGACTCTCCATTTCTTCAAAGGGAAGCAGTAGACCCTGGAGATGACTATGAAGGGGAAGAAATAGAGATTGGAATGGGAGGGTTATATACCGTGCTTTCCCTGCTGAACTTACTTTCTTTTATTTTATTTTGAATAGGCCACCCACATGGCCTTCATTGTGGCTGCTAGTCGCCTCTTTGCCCAAACACATGGGTTGCACGTGAAGGAGGACAAAGCTGCCGCCTTCCAAGTCCTCTTAGACTTGCACCTCCCACCTTTCCAGCCATGCCAGGGAGTGCACATCCCCCTCACTGACCAGGAGATCCAGGATTCACAGGACGCTGCTGGTAAGAAGTCCAGAAGATCTGCTGAACACTCAAAAATCCAATCAGACCTGGAGACGCTGTGCCAGCTCTTTTCCAGAGGATGGGCTTGGCCTCCGTTGCTGTGGCCACCAGGGTCAAAGTACGATTCAGCCGCCATCATCCTGTTGGGGGTCTGTGGGTGACGTGGGGGAGGAAAGCCATTTTGCCCTTTCTTTTAGGTAGCCGTCCTGGAGCTCCTCTCCCTGTTGAAAGCCGTGAAGGGTGCTGCTAGCAGGGGTGATGGATTTGGAAGGGTCTCACATCATGCATAAAACATTTGAGTCTTGGGTTCTCCTATTATGTTCATGCCAGGCTGTGTCTTCAATGGTGTCTTTTAGTTCAGGGGAGGCTGCCAGAGCTGAGGTGGGAACTGACGAAGCTAAAACGAGAGCTGGAAAAGAACGTCAACCTCACATCTGATTTAATGGAACCCATTTACTTTGAGAAGGTACAGACATGTCTCTGTCTTTCTGTTGTGTTTTGTATTACTCTCTGGGCTCCAGTATTCCTAAGGAAGAGAAGAGTTGAGAAAAGTTACTTTTTTGGGACTACATTTCCCCAAATCCAACATCCAGCATTGTAATTTTCCCAGTCTCTGGGAAAGAATATAGCCATTCAGATTAGACCATTGCAATGCGCTCTACGTGGGGCTACCTTTGAGGCTGCTGCGGAAACTGCAGGTGGTGCAGAATGCTGCGGCCAGATTACTCAGTGGAGTGAGAAAATACCAACATATCTCCCCCCCTCTGGCTGCATTGCATTGGCTGCCCATCCGATTCCGCATCGACTTCAAAGTATTAATGCTTACTTATAAAGCCCTAAACAGTTTAGGACCTCAATACTTGGCGGAATGCCTTCTCCCACCAAGAGCTACCCGTGTCACTCGCGCGAGCCAGGAGGTGAGGCTAAGGAGCCTGACGCTGAGAGAGGCCCGGAATGAAAAGACTAGAAATCGGGCCTTCTCGGCAGTGGCTCCTCGCCTGTGGAACAACTTACCTCCTGAGATTCGCGCGGCTCCCTCGCTGGGCATTTTTAAGAAACAAGTAAAAACACTCATGTATAGGCAGGCCTTCCCAACAGCTTATCCCTGACGATCTTTTTTCTTCTTATATTCCTTTGATCTTTGTCTTTGCTAACTTGTAATGTAATGTTTTTAAAAACTATTGTTGTTGAATTGTAAGCCGCCTAGAGTGGTCGAATAAGACCAGATAGGCGGGATAGAAATCAAATAAATAAATAAATAAATATTTCTAGCAATGACCGAGAGCACTTTCAATATTCTTCTTAATCCAGGGCTGGTTACTTTTAATTTAGATCAGCTGTGCTTTCCTGTGATGACTCACCGACCCATTTCTCCATTTTCTGTAAAAGGCAGGTCCAGACAAGCAGCAAAAAGTATTTTGTTTTACTCAGGGTTACATTGTATCAGGTGCTAAAGAGTTAGTATCATGACTAAGGGAGTGAGCTACATATCAGGAGGTTTAACTTCTGCCTTGAGATTGCCTTAGTTAAGCCATTTTCCCTCAGGGCCAGCCAGCTGTCCTTCAGCAGTATGGGAATCATCATACTGGTCTACCTTTCAGGGTTGCTGTTAACAATGGCCAAACAGCCATGTTCTTGAGAAATTTTGAGGTGCTATACCAATGCCAAGTAGGAATGTGTTTCAACTTTCAGTACAAGCAGTGGTAGGAGAAGATGATTGCTTTTTAAAAATCCCTGTTCAAGGAGACACCCTTTAGAATAAAAATTCAGTTCCGCTGTATCCTGTATTCTGTGGCAAGAGGAATATAGGGCTGCAGCCCTATAAAGAATATATAACAAACTATACTGCATGTGTTTGCACATATATATATGGCCGTTACTATTCCTTCCAAATGTGGAGTGAGACAAAATGCTACTTGGAATATGGTTCTTTGTAGCTAGTGGAATCCTGTTTAGTTAGTCCCAAAGGCCACTAGAGTGTCAGTTTCTGACACTTCATCAGGCTTCATTACCTCTGTTCTTGAAACCTTTTTTAAAACAAATGTTATTGGGGGCAGGGGGACCAGAAGTAGATTCTCAGCTTTCCAAGGACCATGCTCAATCATATGCGCACTTCCTTTCCTTGTGTGCTGCAAAGGTGGAGTTCATATGGCCTTGTCATATTTGTAAACAATACATTCCATCATCACATGTGAATGGATGTTTTTGTCTTTGAATTTCTTTTTGTTTTTATTTTTCCAAATATTTTCCACTTCCTTGCTGCCTCTTATAAATCAATGAACAAAAACTGTACATTTTTTAAGGCTACAGAAAATTGTGAACATATTTTCAAGCATTTTTCTTCTAACGTACAGATTCTTGCAAGTGTTTCCCCTAATATAATGCAGTCCTGTGCACTCATTCTTCTGATATAAACTTTTCGGGACACCCTTGTTTAGGGTATGTGTTTCTGTGTATGTTTTTTTGGGGGAAATACAAAACTGTATTCTAGAATTTGGGGAAGCCTTTCTCAAGACAGTATCCTGTCCCAAATACAGTGGTGCATCACAAGATAAATGTAATTCGTTCCGTGAGTAGCGCTGTCTTGCGAAAAAATCGTCTTGCGAAAAGTGGTTTCCCATAGGAATTATTGCAATGCATTCCTATGGGAACCTCACAAGACAAATGATTTTTTTTATCTTGCAAGGCATCAGTCTTGAAAAAAAATTTTCTTGCGAAGCATGGCCATAGAAGAAGCCGTCTTGCAAGGCACCATAATGATCGCAAAACTATTCATCTTGTGGGTTTTGTGTCCTGCGACGCATTCGTCTTGTGAGGCACCACTGTAGTACAGTTGAACAGAGTTTATCAGGATGTAACTCAGTTTAGTTTTAGACAGTGGTTGATCTTTGGAATATATAAAGCTACCTTGTACAGAATCAAGCCATTGTTCTCTCATTCTAAGGCAGCAATGGGCAACCTCCAAAGGCCACACCTGGATCTTGGACAGCCACAGTGGCTATCACACTCCATCTATCCTCAGAATATTTTTTTTATTTTCCTTTTGAAAAAGATCCTTCATCTTATGGTCAATTTTTTTTTTAAAAAAAGGGTAAAGGGCATAGATGTTTTGGTGTCTGCAAATATGGCAGAATGGCCTCCCACCCATAGAGGGGCTGTCTGAGCGAAATATTTAAGTTTAAAAACCTGGGATCTGGGGAAGCCTAGGAAAACTAGAGGGTGCATTCACACTTTTTGTCCCTTGTATTTCTAGGATCTGCTTGGAGTAGCATGGGCTCTCCAGAGCCCCAGGCCAGATACCTTCCATAGCCTCACACTCTGAGATCCTTTAAAGAGAAGTTAATCAAAAAGTGAACTGGGACCCCCTTCCCCATCTGTTTGTGTCTTGTAGTGGAGAGGTTGTTTGATTCAGCTGAAGTGACACGAGTTAGTGTGTTGAGCCGGGTTGGGAACGGGCCCACTTCTGTTCCACAGCTGCTGCCTGCTGAAGTTGTTGTACACAGTGAATGAACACTTGTCCACAGAGCTGCAGATGTGGTGTGGGAATCTTACACTGGGATGAAATCCCAGTATGTCATCAGCTGCCAGGATTGGGGCCTAGATTTCACTTAGGGGGAAATTTTTTCCATATATTAGTGTTTCAGCTGGAAATTGCTGTCAGACAAGAACTAATACAAGTCATGTTTGTTAGGGTTGTTTTTGTCACCCTGACCTTTCTGGGTTTTGAGGGGTTGAGTATGTCTGAGGTTTTATACTGTGTTTTGCTATGTTTGCTTTGATACTGTCATGAGTTCCTTGAATGTATGAATATAATTGTTTGAAAGTGTTGGATATGGTCCAGTCCGAGTTAAATACCTAAGGGCCAAACTAGACTTAACTCCATTAATGCAATTAGCAGTTGTATGAGTGTGTGTTTTTAAAAAATAAATGACCAGCATGCATACCTCTCCCACTCCAGATTTGAACCGTGGCATGACTGTAGGCAACATTAAACTTTTGGTTTTTCATGTGATCCAGGATGTGCTCCTTTGCTTTAGGGCAGGGGTCCCCAACCCCTGATCCATGGCCTGGGCCAGACCGGGTCACGGAGACACATCTCCCACCCATCCCGCATGCACTCGCCCCCCCATAGCCCCTTCACGGATGCACCCACGCGAGCACGCCCCACTCCTTCATGCATGTGTATGAGTGCCTCTGAGCACCCCTGCCCTTCGCACATGCAGACGAGTGTGCAAACGCCTATGCGAGTGCCCTCCTGCTCCTTCGCACACGTGCACAAGCACACACCCCACCCCTTTGCATACATGAGCACGGAGGGCTGCCCCACCTTCCCCAATGGTCCGCGGTGTTAAAAAGGTTGGGGACAACTGCTTTAGGGGATGTTTTCCCCATTTAGCACAAAGCTGGACTGGGATTATAGCAGAGCATGAATGGTGGAACACATCCAGCCACCACTGCTACCCAATTCTAAAGCAGGGTGCTGAGGTCCATGGACTTTTAATTTAAAAAAAAAATCAAACTATCTTAGTTGCTGTGTGTAGCATCAGATCTAATTGCCTCTAGTTGCTAATAGGCTGGGTCCAGATTTTAAATTTTTTATAGAAACTGGATTTTAGCCAATAAATCCCGCTAGTTCTGTCGGTCCCTTCCTCTTACATAGTTCCCAACCTTGGATCCTGAAACTACAGCTCCCAGAAATCTTGGTGAACACAACTGGTGGCAAAGGCTTCAGGGAGTTTTAATCCAAGAACATCTGGGAATCCAAGACATAGAACCATTGCCTTGGAACTAAGAACTGGATTTAGTCCTTATTCATATGAGGAGGAGTGGCCTGAATTCAATTAGTGATCCCAAATGTATCAGTGGAAGGTTCATTCACCATTTAACAACTGATTTAATGGGTCTACTCTAGCTGACACTTGCAATTGGATATAAGACAATGAAACCAGTTAGAGCTAACATGAGTTAGCTCTAACTCAACACAAATTGATTTCATTGGTTCTAGAGGTATGGCTAAGTGTAGACTGAAACCATTGATTTCAAATGTGCTTAGAACTATTTCACTTTGACTAGGTTTTGACCATTTGTTTTTATTTTGTTTGTATGTTTCCTAGTCACGTAGTTATCATGCAATCATGTTTGCTACAGAGAAGCCATCCTTCACTATTCTTTAGCAGCCTCGAAACCTTTTCTGTCATCTCCTCATGTGACTGTTAACTATCACATCACTGTGTCAATACCGAAACTCTGTCCTAGCTGGCTAAGGAGATCTATTCTGAGATATATATAACAGGGAAAAATGTTTGCATTTGACTAAATCTGTTGTGTGTGGCTGCCTCTATGTCCAGACTTTGGAAGTCCAAGAGGGTCAGAATTAGGTAGGGAGAAAAGTGAGGGACTCTTTCCCACATGCATATCTAAATAGTGTTGCACATGGCTTACTGTTATTTTTAAAATAACAATTCTAAATATAACAATATCATTATGCAAGTTGTTATTTGAAGGCCATCAAATATTGTATTCCCACACAGTTAGCCGTGTGGAGCTCTTCTGATGATCTATTGTATAACCTTACTGCTCTCTTGTATGTAAAATTGTTCCTGAAGCTTGCAAAGCATGGCACTTCCCATAGGTCAGAGGCTAAGTCTGAGGGTCAGTTTTCTTCCATGGGATCCTCCAGGGCTCCACAGGGCTCCCAATATATGACCAAAAAAAAAAAAAAATTAAAACATAAAAATCTGAAGTAGCTGAATATCCAGTTTCAGCTTTGAAAACTGGTATTTTGGGGTCTTCAATACTGCAGAGGACTTAGCAAACTGTTTAAAAGGCAACTTTGCTATTCCTAGAGTCTGAGAAGTAGCACCATTTTTTTGGCCCATAGAAACTTGTTTTTTGACATGGTGGGGCTTGGGGACTGTAAAAGAGCCTTTGAAGATTCATGAGAATCCACTGCTGCTCAGTGCAAGAAGCCATGCTCTTCTCTGGGTGCAGAGCAAACAAGCAAAAAGCTCGGAAGGTTCTGTTTCCCAGCTACAAAATGGCAGCTGAGTCCTTCGGCCCAAGAAGGGTGTCTTTTTGTCCCTTCTGCCTTCTTTAGATTTTTAAAGATTTTTTTTCCCCTAAGCATTTCATGCATGTTCCCGGTTGTATCTTTACAGCCACGAGGGCTGAAATTATTATTTATTTATTTAAAAAAATTTAACTGCACTTTTCTCCTTATAAGGGACCCCCAGAAAGAAAGCTGGGATTTGTAATAAACTATACTACAGATGGGGAACACTAGACATTTAGACTCCAATTCTCAGAGGCTCAGACATTTTGGTCGATGGTAAGGGATTATGGGAACCGTAGTCCCAAAAGTTACGAGCACCAAATGCCCCTTTCTTCTATTAAACTGTATACCTTATTTGCATTTTTTTTGTATTTGAAATTTTATTATACATTAACTCCTGGTTATAGCCAATGCTGTTTATTAATTTATTTGCTGCCTTTTGTCAGTTCTGTCATCATTTAGTCTTATTCCCACTGAGATCCCTTATCTCTTCCTCCACCATCATCACCCCCTCCCAGCTGTGAAATGATTTTGCAACTCTTGGGCCCTCAGGATAATGCTTGTCACTTGGACTTCATTGCAACTGTGGCCAATTTGCGAGCCGAAAACTATCGCATCCCTCCTGCTGATAAGCTCCAGGTAAGCAAATGGGGGGGGGAGGTGGGGGGAGGGGACACTTGTAGACTCATTAATTCCAGTGCCAGTGAGCTCCAGGGAAACAGTATGGGGTGGGGATGGAGAAGAATAGATTGACCAGAACTTAGAAAAGTGACTTTCTAGACTACAAAACCCTTCATATTCTAGCTAGCATGACTGCCCTGCTGATTGGGGGATTCTGAGAGTTGTAGTCCAGACAGTCACTTTTGGGAGCCCTGATGCTGGCCTGTGCTCTTCCTGACCACCAGGTTCCAGAACATGTGTGTGGTGCAAGTGGCATGTTTTTTCACACGTTGATTCCAAGAAGGGAACAGGGTGGGAGCTTCTCATGTGTGAAGGAAACAAGGTAGTCGTATGTGGGTGGTGACAACTCTTTTACTAGTACCTCCCCAGAATGCTCTTCCCCTCAGTCTGCTGTCACAGCACTCCCTTCCTCTTTTGCCCTGTTTTTCATGCCACCTGTCTGCTTTCATTTGAATAGGTCCAGAAGATTGCCGGCGGGATCATCCCTGCCATTGCCACGACAACAGCTGCTGTGGCTGGCCTGGTGTGCCTGGAACTTTATAAGTTGGTGTGGCAACACAGGCAGCTCAGCTCCTATCGCAGCACCTTCTTGCGTCTCTCAGAGCCCTTGCTCAATCGCTTCCACCCCCAGGCGCCTCCAGAAACATACAAGGTGAGGCCCTGTGATAGCCTATCTTTGGATTTTTTGTTATTAAAACTCTAAAAACCCTACAGCTGGATCTGCTAGTTAGGGAATTCTGAGAGTTATGATCTCCTCCACCCCCAAAATACCATTTTCCATTGGGGACTGCTTTTCCTTGCAGACCAAGGGCCTGTAGAAAATTGTGGGCCATGCTTTATACTTCCATGTAGGCTGCTCTTCTGTACAGTCAGGACTAGGACTACAGAGATACTGTGAGATGAAGCAAAACATGCAGCACTGAGGCCATAGGAGTCATCCAGGAATACCTCTCGCCAGGATTTCTGCTGTGTTCAGTTCTCTGTGTTGAGTTAGAACAGGCGTAAATATCCTGGCACCCTCCAGTTATTTTGAACTACAGCTCCCATACACCCCAGACAATGTGGCTAATGATCAGGCCTTATGAGAGCTGCAGTCCCAAATATCTGGAAGATACCCAGTTGTTTTGCTCCTAAATTAGAGGCGATGGCTTGTTGGTATGCCATTTTTGTATAAGTGTGACTGTCCTTCCAGGCTAATGGCTCTGGACATTTAAGCCCATGTAGCCACCTGGAAGCGTGAACGCTTCACATCTCTGGATCTTGCTGGTGTGATATCCAAAGCCAAAACCGAAACAGTCAGATATTCAAGGGCAACTTTCCAGGACCACTTTCTCTGTTGGACATCACAACAGCAACATGACAGCATGTGGCAAACTTCAGCATGCAAGTGATAGCGATGCTATGATGCGCCCGGACATGTTTGCAGTCTGTCACTCTTGCAGTGGCTGGCCGCACGCTATGCAATAAGAATTTTGAGCATTAAGTGGTGATCAGTGACTGCTGTAGGTGACAAGAGTGAGATCAGAATGGGTGCTTTCTTTCTAGGCTTTCAGTACAGGGCTGAGAGTGACTACTGTACTTCCACACTGTGGAGGCAGTCTTTATAGCCCATCTTTGGTCTGGGTGCCTGATATTCAGCTGTTTGCCAAGGCCTGGTGTGCTGGTGGGAGGGAGGGAGGGAGGGAGGCTGTTCCTGCCCAGCTGCTGACCTTGCCTTTCCTGAGCCCCTTCTGGCAGACAGACGGTGAAGGAGATCTAGTTACAGAAGCCAGTGCCTGGAGTGTAGCAGGCCAGCAGCAGCGCAGGAGGAGGGCCAAGCCTGCCTGTGAGCTGTCAGACACAGGAAATGGTCTTTAACCTGCAGCTGACATGCCCAGCTGATGCCACGCTGCACACCAGTGGGGAGATCAAGCTCTGGCTCACTTTTTTTTTCCCCTGGCACAACCACACTGCTTTTCTTTAGTCTTGATCTCAGATGCCAATACTGGGTCTCTCCCCAAACCTCAGCCTGTTCCCTGGCTTTTATTCCACAAACCTCAGGTGAATCCAGAGCTGAGGTGAACAGTGCCTGACAAGACCATGGGAAACAGTGCAAGGCCACGAATGCTTCTCTCAGGTCTTATAGACGCACAATAGTTGTCTCATGGGCATCTTGAGAGGGCCTTAAGAACAGCAAGAGGACCACATAATGGCCATCACTGTCTCCTGTTGACAAAGTGACTGCCATTTCTGAACAATTGTGGCAGTAGAAGCATTACCAAAAAAAAAAAAAAAAGGCACCAGAGTGGCTTGTGAAGCAAATTGTGAGCAGGCACTTGTATTAACAGCTGTGGAAGGTACCATCAGCTCCATCTAGTTCTGTTTGGAAGAATCATACCTCGCTTTGGACTAGATAATTGTCATGCACGCATTACACTATTCTACCCCTTCCAGTGGCTGATCTTTCTCTAGGAGAGGAACCAGCAAGAGATTTCAGGCAAAAACTTGTGGATGTATGACATTCCTGTCCGATTCTTTCTCCAGCAAACTCCTAGTAGCACCCATGAGTCTGCCAGGCAGTCTCTTACCCATATGGGAGCTGGGCCCAGAACTGCTTAGCTTCAGAAGTGAAATTACACAGGAAATATTCAGACCATTTTTAAGGGGTAGCCAGCATGGTCATGCAGGATGCCTTCTGCTTGGTGCTACTAACTGTTGCATCGCTCCTGCCTGACAATGTGTTGTGTTTTTACCATAGCCTAGAAAGCTTACTTTGTGGACTACAATTCCCAGATTTCCCTAGTCAGCATGGTTTTTATGACAAATGTACAGATGGATATGTATGCGTGCGCCCATTCATGTCCATGCGTGTGCGTGCATGTGCACATGCACCCACAGATTCAGAGTTTCTTCTTTTGTCCCAACTTCCATATACGATTCCCAAGACTTTGCTCTTGCATTCGTCTTCGATGGTCGGGGCCGGGACCCGTCTTGGCTGCTTTGCAAAACCTCCCTTTTCTGAAGAAAGAAACCAGAGCTGGAATGATGGGGGAAAGTTCGGCGGGAGGGAGAAACTAAATTAAGAGCATCTGTTTGAATAGAAGCCTTTTTGTCTTGAGTTTATGGAGCGCAAGGCTGGGGCTTCCTGCTACACAGGAAGCACAGATTGGAACCAGATTGAAGGGAGGGGGGGTTGAAGGCAGGAAAGTGGGGAGGGCGAATTTTCCATCTCCAGCGATTTCCATGGCTTTGGCTCTCTTTCGGCGTCTCTGTTCCTCCTCCTTCCCGGTTCAGAACATGCTGACTAGCCCGGGGGCTTGCTTAATGCATGCTCTCTCTGTCTCTCTCTCTCTCTCTGTCTCTCTCTCTCTCTCTCTCTCACACACACACACACACACACACATATAAAGACTCCACTACTCTTGCCAAATGTGGATTTTTAGTATTTCTCAGATTTTTTTTAAATGGTGCCATTTTCTGAACAGTGCAACTGTGTAGAAAGTCCCTAAAATGACCATTGAAATGCCTATGGGGAAGGGGCCATGGAGTCTTAATTTCTATGAAATGTAGACATCTGTTAACGCATCTTCCACAGTGTGAATTCTGTGACCTGAGAAGAGGAATGTCCTGAGGTAGCAGGAGAGCCAAGTGACCTGATATGATGATGAAGATGGGAGAGGGAGAGCTGGGTCTATGGTAGATCACTCTGTGATTTTGCATGGGGCGGGTGTATGTGTCCCCAAGTGTTTTTAACACTGAACTGTTTTAAGAGCAGCAGTTTTTGAAACAAGGCTTCTCTCTCCATTGTCAAGTTAGGCTAACAAAGTATTAAGTGTTAAAAGAGAAAAACAGGAGTGGCTTTATTTTGTGTCCAGGGGGTGCATTCAGTTCTGGTACTGAAAAAATAGTAGGCTGAACATGTGATCCAGAGATTGGAAAAATTAAAAAACAACAACACCACAGTTCCCACAATGTCCCAGTCTGCCTGGTGGCCATTATAGCCAAGGCAGTATGGGAATTATAGTTCAAAAACTCTTTTACCAAGCTCCGTATCTGCCACATTCTGTTTTTGATTTTTATGAAGATTTCGTAGATAAGTGTCCACTGCACCCAGTTGCTGCTGTGTGTCAGGATCCTATTACTGTGTCTCAGGGTTCTGTTAAAAAAAACCCCAAGAGTATTTGCTCTTGTCATTTATTAGTTGAATCTATATTCTGCTCTTTGTCCAGTGAGCATAAGGCAATGAACACAGTCTTCCTCCCACTGCCATTTTTATCCTTCCAACAGCCCTGTGAGGTAGATCAGGCTAAGACAGGGACTGACCAAGGGTCATTCGATGGCCATTTCATGGCTCAGGGGAGACCTGGAACTCCCACGTCTCATCCTTGCCATTTGATCATTACCTCCCACAGGCCTCAAAGCTGAGCCTCCACCACATCTGCCTGGTTGAGAAGGCAACAGTGGTGGCAGTGGCTTCCCAGGGAAGCAAGACCTGGTAGGTTCTAATGGGGATCCCCCCCAAGACCATTTGGGACGGGTTCCATTTGGTTCTATTTTCTCCAAAAAAGTGGAATCCAAGAGGATAAATCCTTAATCGACCCCTGAAGCCATAATGGTGGAACTGGGGGGCTGGGATAAAAGGAACCAGCAATGAAAGGGACTCATGGGGTGACCAGAAAGCAGCACTGGGGGGGGGAGGAGGGGCAGGAGGAGCACCAGGAGGTAGAAAGGAGTAGAGGGGGCTTTGATTTGCCAAAGAAGACGCAGAGCAGTGCTGGATCCAGCAACTTATGGAGTTGATTAAGCAGCATATGGGAGTCATTAGTTAGTAAGGGCTGGCAATTGGGGGAAGGGAGACCTTACCCTGGCGCCAAAAGATTTCCCCCTACCAAATAGAATTATTGGACCTTTGCATCTCAGTACCGGAGCAGGTTTTGGAGGGGTGGAGGCAGGCTGGGATCCCGGCGTTTTCAGGGAACCGAGAAGGACAGGGAAGGAAGGGTGAGATGTTGAGAGACTGATTCTGCAAACTAGGCACATGGCTTAGAACAGAAGGGGGGGCGGGGCTCTGGCCTTCCAGATACTACTGAAATACAGTTCCCATCAGTCCTCACCATGAGTTCGAGCTCATGGGATCTGTAATCCGGCAGCATCTGGAGAGCCACACATTCTCTACCCGGGCTTTAGAATAGCCTAACTCCAGGCGTTTGCTGTGTTCCACCCCTTACCCTGACAACATAATACAGTATGTAATTCTTAGTGGCTCAGAAAAAATGCAGCTGTAGCAGCTGACATAAAGACACTCTTGAATGTGGTCTGTTTGCTGCGGATACAGGCCATTCCCTTTCCACTTTCCCCTGTTGCTTGAGTTTGGCTTTGGAAGTCCCTGGGCAGAGAGATGGGAGAGAATTAAAACTTGGGAGGAAAAAGGGTTGGGCAGGACGTGCTAACATCTCTCTGCAGGTGAGAAAGGCCAAGCCAGCCATATGGTGCTCTCGAAAGAGGAGAAGGCTTCCTTCTGTGCTGGGGTGGGGCAGCAGGGGCACACAAATGGAAAGGGCCATCTGGTCCCAAATGGACAAGTTTTGGCTCCCAGATCCCATCTTCGTCTCTCCCCCCCCAAAAAAAAGTATAGATGGTATCAGACAAAATCTGGATGTCTCTTGTTTCAAATCAAAGCCTAGCAGGCTGAAGGAGAGCTCACTGTCCTCTTGTTCAAAGCGATTGAATATAGCTTGCATTTGTGTTCATCCTGTGAAGTTGGGGATCTCTGCAGTCTGGCAGTGCCTGTCAGGTAGCTGAATGCCTGTCTTGCTCTTTCCTCCTTCCGCCTTTCATTCTGGCCCCTTGTTGTTTGCTTTCCTTTTTTTCCAAGACAGAGAAATGGAGTGGGGCTTTGGGGAAGTGTTGGCTTCTGGTTTCCATTGTCACCCATCCACATATCCTTCCCATGGGTTCTATAGAATCTCAGCACGAGTCTGAAAGACTATTTGGCTCTTCTGCTAGGCAAAACAGCAGTGTAGGACAAGATCCTGCTAGGCCTTGTAACTCCTTTCACATCTTCCCTCTGACCTCATGGAAGGGGGAAGGAGGTCATGCCTCCTACCCCCACCTTTGGGTTTCCCTAAGTTCAGCAAAAAGTCTGAAAGGGGTTCTTGTATTCAAACAGCTGTACAGAGACCACATCATCCTTGTGAACAGGAACCTAGTCTCATAGCTTTCTCAGTCATGTGGAAGTGCTTGGTTGTACTATCCTTCTTCCTGTTCTAAATATTGGAAACACAGGAAGTGGCTTTAATCCATCTAGTCTAGTATTGTCACTACTGACTAGTGGTAGCAATTGGTGGGGTGTGTGTGTGCGTGTCTTAGCCAGGATTCTTTTCTGTCTCTATTCGGAGATGTTGGGAGTTGAACGCTAGTCCCTTGGGAAGCAAAACAGATGCTCTGGTACTGAGCTGTGGCTTCTCAGTCTGCATGGCTTGAACAGAGACAGTAAGACTAGTGGTACACATCAGCTGGGGGGGCGTCTGCCTGGTGGACATTGCTGTACCAGGCTGCACAGAGGCCCAACCGCACCCTGCCATCTCTCTGAAAGAGGGATGGCCAGCAGTCACCCTAGAATACGCTTCAGTGACATGGCATTGAGTTCATCCAAGGCCTGTTCCAAGACAGTTGTGGTCCCCTTGTATGCTTCTCAAAATAGTTCTGAACTACTCTGCAGTGGCCAAGCTAGCTGGGAATTGTAGTTTAAAACATGTAGAGGAGAGAAGGCAGCCTCCTTAAAGCCGTGCCAGTGTGGAAGGTCAGCTGTCCCACTTTGACTTTCTTTAGGACAGTGGAAGTGGTCTTCATCTTGCTGAGAAGGCATTAGAAAAGTGCAGTGGGAGATCACCTTTTGAGTAAGTCACAAAGTCCTTTCCCTTTCATACACCTAGAGAGCTCTGAGCGGAGGTTTGGTAGGACATAATCCCTGCTTTGCTCTCCAGATTTGGACTGGTGTACTTGTGTGCTTTATTCCTGACATTCCTAGCAACAAGGCCAATTTGCTCCAGAGGCTTAGGGAGATGAAGAAGCCTAGGCCAGCCCTTCCCCATCTTCTGGGCTGCGAGTATGCCCAGGACAGTATCCCTTTTGTGCTGATTGACCCCACGAAATTCTCTCCAGTCAAGACACTTCCTGCTGTGAGCTAGTAACTATCAGCTCCAATGGGTCCCTTGTTAGAGAACTGGATGCTTCTTGCCCAGGGCCAAAATAGGCTGAATCAACAACCAGAGGACTAAGACAACGTTCTGGGCCTCATTCTAAAGAAAAGGGTAATTGTACATGGGCAAGGCGCCTTCTCAATGTGTCTTTGTGCGACAGAAAGCTATGGATCATGAATGGACAGAAGGGAGCCCTACAGAGTCCCTTCTGTTTGGCCCATTGCTAGGTTTTTTTGGGGGGGTTGTTTTCTGTTTTCTGCATTAAGAGATATCTGGAAAGAATCATTTAAGTCATTCAAATCTCACTTCCTATGTGAAATGCAAGACAAATGACATCTACCATTCACATGATGTCATGGCATTTCTTTTATGTTCAACTTATGATAAAAACGCTTTTCAGGAGCAGGAGTGGTCTTCATCAGAAGGTTACAGTTCTGGTTTGTTTCTCAAAATCATGCTCTGCCCTTTATGCCAAGACACCCATAGCTGGGTTTTAGCCTTAGTAGTGTAGGCTGAACTGGAAAAATCACAAAAAGTGAGCTCTGTGACCAGCTTGAAGCTGGGTGGTTGTTGTTTTAAAATTCATATCCAATGCTTTTGGGCTTTGTAGAGGATTGGCTTGGAGACTCTGCTCATTCCTTTGGCATTTGGTGTCACTGTAGTTAATAAATGCTCTTTGAAATCCTGTGCCTGATTAGAATTTGTCTAGTTTTATCTTTTATTTTTATTGGCAGTTCTTACCTTGCGCTTGGCTAGATTAAAGGGCCGCCCTTTAGTACCAAAAACCTTCTCTCCTGTAAAGGTCCTCTACAATCAGTTCACCTCTTAACCTTGCTTCTGATAAGATGACCAGACTGAGTTTCTAGGTCCTTTGCTGGAAAATTTCTGTTTCCAACCCGCTCTTCTGTCCTACTATCGGACTAGTCAATGGATAGAGAAGACTGAGTGGGCATGGTATTCAAGATCTTCCAACAGTAGTTCCTGCTGTAAGATCCTTGTTTTATCAAGATGATCCCAGCAGTTCTAGGGGCTCAAAATACATTATACATTATCCCTGGTGTTTACCATCCTACTAACAATTCAGGCTGTTGGCTTGGCCCGTTCCAATTTGCAGGCCTGTTGTGGCCTTCCCAGCCCATGATACAAGCATCTTCATTAGTTTGGCATCTGCTGTATTTTTGTATGTCTGGTAAAGTGGTTAATTATCAATGAAAGCTCACAACATAATAAATGTGTAAGTCTTTAAGACCCTTCGTTGTGTTCGTTACAATGGACCAGTGTGGCTCTGGTGTTTGCTCTTTTCTCAGTACCACCAGAAGACATGGAGTTGTTGGGACAGGATTGAAGTGCCAGGTTTTGATGCTGAGGGAGAAGAGATCACCTTGAGAGCGCTCTGTGATCATATCCAGGTGAAAAGGATGGACCATGCAGAAGCAGGGGGGCTCATGGTTTGCATATAGCTTCCCCTGTCCCCCACCCCAAAGACTTGTTTGATCCTCCATCACCCAGGTTTGCTATAATTGACTGGTAGTAGCACACAAATACGCAGGGATCCCCTCTCCCTTCGTAGAAGAGAAGGTGGTACACTCTGCCTTGCTGACAGGCAGGGCTGGCTGTGGTGCGGGATGGCGCTTTGGCTCCCTTGCAGTACTATAAAGAACTGCCACTATTGTTCCCCAATTTGGGTGGTAGCTGTGGTGATGGCGAGAAATTCATGATGATGCAGCCCACAATGGATTCGTGAGGATCCAGTGTTTCCCTCCAAAAAAAAATCGTTCCCCCCCCCCATTTAAATTTTTTTTCCTCATCTCCCTCCATTTTTGTCCTGGACCCATCATTTCTTCATCTTTTTAGCCTCTTTCCATGCTGCCCTTATTTCCCTGTCCCCCACCCACCCGGCCCGGCTGTTTCCATTTCTTCTAGTCCTCAGAACGGTCTGATGCTGATTTCTGCCTGCGTTTCACAGAGGGAGCATGGCCTTGTGCTGCAGATGCTTCTCTATGGGGCAGCAATCCTCTATGCTGCATTCTTGGAAGAAAAGGACAGACAGGAACGGCTTTCCTACAGGTGGGAGAATTAAAGAGAAATGTCCTCAGCAGTTTGCTTGTTTTTTTAAACATCTGAGCAGTCACGACAGAGGCAGACCCGAGATCTGGGAGCCTCTCTGGGCTGTCAGACGTTTGGTGGGCATCCTGAGATAACAACAGGGAGCCCTAGTCACGCTTCCTAATGTTCACAGCTGCCTCCTGGCCATGTGGCAGCTAGATAGGCTCAGACTTGTAGAGTGTGTACCAAACCGGGCCTTCCACACCACCACAGTGCCCAAGTATGGCTTGGGAAGAGAGGTGTTTATGAAGTTTCATAGCTGGATGATCAGGCAGAATGTCTGGCTGAAGAGAAAAAAGAGGCCTCCAAATTGTGAGGCTTATCCACAAAATTTGTTGCCATCTTCATATTCCAGTTCACTCCAAACCTAGCTCTTCCAGTCTCCCCTGTTTTCCTTCTCTCTCCCCCCTCTCTCATTTATTCTGAAAACATGCATAACACTCCCCTATAAAAGGGCCCCAAGGCAGTTTTTCAGCTCTTTTAAAAAGCTCACTATTAAAAAAAACCAGAGAACACCGAAGCAAGCCGAACCAAAACGGCTTAAAAATGAGTCCCCCCAACAGGCCAGATTAAAACCTTGCAAGGTACCCAGACGGGCAAGGGCTGCATCTGTGGATTCTCATGAGTTCCCACGGAGGCTGGAGACCAAGGAGGAGGGCCAGGTCTCCCTGGTGAGCCCCCTGCATCTCTGCTCCCTGTGTGGACAAGGGCCTTCCCTTGACATTTCTGCCTCCGCTCGGCCCACTCTTCTAGGGCCTGGGGAGCAACAGACCCCGTCGGCTGGGCGGGCAAGTTACAAAGCAGAAGATGGCCCCCGAGGGGTCGTCCAGAGCAAGGGACAGGGAGACGATGGCTTCCCCATAGCAGGGCCCCTGGAAGTACAGCCTGGGTAGTGTAACAGCAGCAGCAGCAGCTGCAAAGCCTCTGCGTCCTGTCCCTTCCCCACACTGGGTAAACATCCTGCTGTCAGCACCTCCTCCGCTGCTTCCTGGGGCAGGCCGAGCTCATCCCAGTCTCAAACAGGCCATCCTGGGCCTCTGCCATCCATGTGCAGCGTCCAGACAGCAGCAACGGTTCGTCCTTTACTCCAGACTCCTTGGCAGCCGCTGCTGGTCTCTGCCCACTCAGACCCCCCCCCCTTTCCGAGCTCACCCCCAGGCTGAGCTGCAGCAGACTCACAGACCACTTCTCTTTAGCTGTAACTGGAAAGAAGCAAGCTTGGCTTTTTCCTGGAGCTGGCGGAAAGGGGGGGGCTGGAATTTGCTCTAGTACGAGAAGCTGTGGAGAAAAAGGACAAGGAGCCCTGGACTGATCACTCTGTCCCTTCCTCAGAGGCCACTGGTCAGGCTGTATACAGTGCAGGGAGAACAGCCTGGCAAGCGGTGGAGTTGCTCTGCATACCAGCTGCAGGAAGGGACTCTTGCTCTAGGATAAAATAGTCCTATGGCCCTTCTGTGACTTAGAGATGTATTACAACATGCGCTTTGGTAGACTCCGAGTCTTAAAGGCGCCCTGGGACTCTTTGTTATTTTTCTGCAACTGACTAACATGGCTGCCCTGTGGAAAATGGTGAGGATTACATGCCCCAGCTGGGTCAGTGTGAGCTACTTGGGGCTGAACTAGCATGAGTTACTGGTAATAAGTCTTTTGCTTCCTTGACGTTTTCCAAAAGTCTTTGCAGGTTGGAATCCCCAAAAGGGTATCAACCAGTCAGTCCTTCCTATGGTTCCAAAGCTTGAAAAAAATATATACATTTTTTTTGCACTATAACTCCCAGAATCCACCAGCCTCCTTCCCAGTCGTACCCCTAGTTGGAAGACACTGGGAGTTCTTTCCATGTTCTGGTTGTGACCTGCAGGCTGAGAGGTTGTCACATGAGGTAGTCCCAAGAGCTAAACAAAAAGTGGAAGGGAATGGGTGGCAAACCTTCTAGTCAAGGGAGTGGCAGGAGCCCTCTTTCCAACCTGGATGCTCTGTTTTTCCTTCAGTGCCACACTCACCCTTTACTGTCATTTTCTCAGGCTGACTGAACTGGTTCACCAGACCACCGGAGAGAGAGTGTCCCAGGAGTGCCGGCTCTTGGTGTTCTCAATTATCTGTGACGAAGAAGACGAGGAGAGCGATATACCTCCTGTTCATGTCTGGCTCCAACCAACAAAGAGTAAAGAATGAATTGTTGTTTCTCCATCTTCCCCACAGTGCTGCTTCCAGAGGGTTTCCTAGGCCTCCAGCGACAGTTTTGGGGGCACATAGAGGAGAGTTGTGCTAGGGAGAGAGGATTCCCGCCCCCGTTTAACCCTGGAATCTCCTGTTGTAGTGGTGGAAATCCAGCCTCGGATCCTCGCCGAAAGTGCTTTGTACCCTTCTAAAAATTCTCACTATGATTACACAATGGCTGTTAACAGAGATAGCTTGTCTGAGAATTCCCTGTTTGTGACTTGATTTTAAAGACAAGGTTGGTGTCATGTGTAACTGCAAATGTTCCCTGAAGCAGCGCTACTGATAACATCTGATAAAGGTAACTGAGAGACTAGCCTTGCTCCTCCTCTCCCCGCTACCCTCTGCAGCATTTAATTTAAGTAAAATAGCTATTGGTTTACATGATGTTAAGGATGTTATGGCAGAGTGCCCTCTGACAGATTGCATCTCCTGTTTGCAGTAAAACTCTACCAACACATTAGAGTAATGAGCTGGACTAGATGGTGAAACGAAGCATCTTTTGTTTCAAAACTGGCTCTGCTCTTTGGATCTTGGACAGGATGTTCTTCCTTTGCTGCTTATCTCTCAAATTCTCACCGAATGACTAGGAATTACAGACTGGCTACAGCAATATACCAAACAAAATGCTACTCGGGACCTTCTCATGAAAACCAAGACCTGCTTCCCCCTTCCTCCCTAAGGAAAATTGTGTTGTCTTGATTGGCTTGTGTACAGATTGTGTGCAGATACATTTGTTAAGTTTTCCTATCAGTAGCCTTCTTAATCTTTCTCAGTATGCGTAGCAAGACAAAATGCTTTTCTTTTTTCTTTTAGACTGACTGACTGATTTTGGTGGGTGTGGAGGTGGATTCAGTTCATGGAACCTCACGTTGAAATAAGTCTGTGTTAGGGTACAACCAGATGGCAATATAGGATCATGTCGGATCGCACGGGAAAGAGTCACTTTAGTCTGTCAAGGAATCACTCCAGTCCACCCCCAAAAAGTGTAGCCCTGCTGATGGACCAAAAAAGGACATGGAGCAGGCCAGGCTGGAGCACGGTAGCCCATATATTGTGTGACGGCTGGGAAATAGCCTGCAGTGGACCATGCTACAAGCAGTCCAAAATGTGAACTTTTTCCGTGTCTGATCATACTCTTAATCTTGAAAGTGCCACAATAGGTAATGTTACTGTTCTGCTTTGGCTTTTGTTATAAGAACTTTCAAAGGGTTTTTCGTGGCCATTCCTGGCTCTAAAGTTCCCTGACAAGGAAGCTAATATGCTTCTCTCCTGAATTTCCTTCCACCTACAGTAGACTTTTTCAATTAGGCAGCCTTTAGGCAGCTGATTGGTTACTGAAGAAGGAGTTGTTCATTGAGTGGGAAGTATATTTTGGTTCCTTTGCTGCCTTTTGATGACGTGTCTATAAGTTCCGTTCCTAATCTAATTGTCTTTTGATACATAAACTTGTTTAATTGTATTTTTAGTGAGTCTTCAATGTGTTGCACTGGTGCCTTTCTGACTCCAAACGAAATTGCACAGTACTGCAGATCCCCCATTTGATGTCCTAACAGTGGTTGGTGTGCCCTATTAAAACAATTATTTGCTGGCGTGGCTGCTCATGGAATGGCTGAACAAGACTGGTGCTTTGATCCTGTGAGCCCTGGAATAACTACACTACTCAAAATGTATTCTAGCTTGTCAATCCCAGCCAAAGGCAATATCAAATGTTGATGTGTTGTTCTTCAATGCATGCCAACTAGTATTGTTTTTTCCAGTCTTAAGCTGAAATGAGTCCCCTGATAACCTAAAGCCCCCGGCTGAGTGTCTGCTACCCTCAGTTCCTCTTTGGAGCCCTGTCTATGAAGCCCTGCTATATTTCTTTCCCATCTTAGAAAAGGAGCCTCTTCTGTGCCACATTTGATTGTCCTGATGAATTAAGTATACTCTGGATGTACTTTTCGAATAGAATGTGGAGAAACTGAATGGTTTTCCAGTGGCCAAGATGTCCTGTGGGGAGAGAGGGTGTGAGGTATTTTATCTCCCTTTTTGTTCAGTGTGTGTGTGTGTGTGTGTGTGTGTGTGTGTGTACACACACACATGTACACTGTATATATGTGTATATATACACAGAACATGTCATACAAAAAGCTGGATTCAGTTTAAATGGAGGAGTGAACATTGATGGAACAAGCATTAATATACAGATGATATTATATTAACAGCAAACACTAGCAAATATTTGAAATAACTGTGGATGAAGGTGAGGAAAAATTCAAAAGTAGGATTGCAGTTGACTATTGAGACTACTAAAATAATGTCTACAAATGAACTATATAACTTGAACGTTGACAATTAAGTAATCAAAACGGTTAAAGATATTCTCCGCGTTGGTCCAACCATTGATCAAAATGGAGACTGTAGTGAAGAAATCAGAAAATGGAGGGATGGAAGAACACCCTATGAAAGAAGAATTCCTAAAGAGGAGGATGTGTTGCTCACCTTAAAAAGACCAAGACTGTAGCCAGGCATTTTTGATTACAGTAACACGTAAAGATGTGAAAGTTCAACGGTTTTAAAAGCTGACTTGGAAAAACTGATTCATTGAAATTGGAGGAGAGCTTTAGGGAATTCATGGACTGCCAGAGATACAAATGAATGGATTCTAGGGCAAATCAAGGCTGAACTTTCCCTGGAATCTAAACGTAGGCTATTGTACTTTGAACTTCTTATGAAAACAGAAGTACATGTACATGTATATGTTTTGAGTGGTGTAATGGTAAATTTCGAAGTGCAAGTGTGGATCATGAAGATAATCTTTATAGAGCCTTCTCTCATTGGGAGACTCACAACATGCAGAGAACTGAATTAGTTCATATCAACAAATGAGGAGCTGTTCTTCTGTTATGTGCTGCGAAGTTTGAACTGACGTACAGAGATGCTGGCAGGATTTTCAAGGTCAATGAGGTATTTAAGGAGTGGTTTTACTAGTTCCACATCCCCAGTGAGCTTCTGTAACTGAGTAGGAATTAGAGCCCAGGCTTCCTCAGTCCTAGTCTATCACTCTAAAAAGCGAAAAGTGTGCTTCTTATACACTGCACCACAGCACTTAAAGCACTCTCTGGGTGTACAATTTAATTATGCAGGCTACACATTCCCCAACCCCACAAGCTGGGTATTCAGTCTACTAATCTTGGAAGAATGCAAGGCTGAGTGAGCCTTGAGGCAGCTACCTGGGGTTGAACCTGGGTGTTGAGAAGAGTTTTTGGATGCTTTAGCCACTGCACTATGAGGCTCCTACCCCCTACACCACACTGAGTGGCCTATGAATCTAAAGCCTCTTAATTACCCATTCAAGACCAAACCAGTCTCACTTATCTTGAATTACAACAGGCATAGCTTACAACAATATATTGTTCCTGAGAAAATTAATTTTCCTCCCAGCGGCTGTGAGGGTTGCAGAAGGAATAAGGAAGCCTGAAGGGGCTGGCAGATGATGCCATAATTCCTGCCAATTAGAAAGCAATGGCGCTTTGATCCTGTGAGCCCTGGAATAACTACACTACTCAAAATGTATTCTAGCTTGTCAATCCCAGCCAAAGGCAATATCAAATGTTGATGTGTTGTTCTTCAATGCATGCCAACTAGTATTGTTTTTTTTTAAGGAGAGGTGCTACGTCCTCAGCCTGGGTTCTTAGCACCAAAAATGTTATTGCTTTTTCCAGTACTGATTGCTAAAAAACAAAACAGGAATGATAGTAAAAGTTGAAGGCAGTAAGAAAAAAGGAAGACAAAACATTGATTCAATAAAGGAAACCATGACCTTGAATTTACAAGATCTGGCCAGGGCTCTTGGAATGATAGGACTTGTGGAGGTTCAGGCATAGAGTCACTGTTAAGTCCTAAGCAACTGGGTGGCACAAAACAATAACAGTGTGCCTCAACTTCTAACTAAAATCATTCCATATAAATACTGAGCTGGGTTGTGAGGATCTCTAAGCAAAAGGGGCCTCCAGGATTCCATCTTTATTCCATGGAGCATGAGTGTTGGAGTCAGGGGCCAGAACTAGACAAGGTGGTAGCACAGCTGTGTCCTTAAAATATGGATCTGCCTTAAACTTGGAAGAGGGGATCGGGGCGTTGGGGTGGGAAGTATGGTCTGATTCTGATAGCAAGTGGAATGTGCAGCCAAGAAGTACAGAACACTTTCCCCATGCCAGAGGTTGGAAGGGAACACAAATCCTAGAATCCCCCCAGCTAGCAGCCATGCTAGCTAGGAGGATTCTGGAAGATGTAGTCCAAAAAAGGAATCTTTCCAAAGCTCTGTCCAATTTCTATTATTACTGCTCTGCAGCTTGAAAGTGGTATACCAAGGCAAACATCACACCAGAATATGGGAAGCCCCAAACTCCTCTTTGAGTGTCAGAGTATTCTGCATGACTCACTCAGGACAAGGTTTGCCAGATGCATGGGTACCAAAAGGAGGACATAGAAAGACAAAAAAGAGGGCAGAGGAGGACATATTGAATGTTTCGTTTAACAAAGAGGAAGGGGGCCTACCAAGAAACAGTGGCTTCCGATTGCAAGCAAAGCAAATAAACCTGAACCCACCCTGGTGGAAGCAAAGCAAATACAGTAAACCGAAACCCACCCTGGCCCGGCTGCGGGATCCCCTGACTGCTCGCACTCTGCACAGGCTCAGAGGCAACCTTGCTAATCTGGATGCCCAAACAAGGCTCTGGTGCAGGCAGGGGAAAGTGGCACCAGGCAAAGCTGGATGATGCAGCCTCCCCTCCCCTGAGGGTCATAAATTCAAGGATGGGGAGTGTGGGAGTTGGAGTCCCCAAAAGGGACCTTGAACACACACAGTCCGAGTGCTCGGGCGCTGCTTGCTCCTACCTGGCTCAGCAGATAGCACTCCACTCGCTCTGCCTTTCTGGGCTCCACATGGGCTGGGCAGGCATGCCGGATCACCAAGCAGCCACTGCTACAGCATAAAGGGGCGAGGGCTGCTCTTGCACCGGGAGCTCGTAATGGGTGGGCGGGTGGGAGCAGGGAAAGACAGGGAGAGGGGTATCCTTCCACCTCTTCCCCTCCCATCCAAAATCATGACATCAAATATACAAAAGCCTGACATTTTAAAGGTTTATATCTTTGCCTGCTGGACGGAGGACATTAGGCTAAAAAGGAGGACATGTCCTCCTTTTGCTGGACGTCTGGCAACCCTATTCAGGACCAGACATGCCTTTCACTGAGGGAAGTAGAGTTCCCACTCCTTTTGAACACAATAGGAGACAATCTGTCTTTGTTGAACCACAAAGATCTGCCCCTCTTATACCTACTTTGGTCTACAGAGTGAGACGTGCATGTCATTGCTATGAAACCAAGTTGAGATTGCAGTCTGAGGCCTTCAGTCTGTATAATGCCATTTGCTCCAGAATGGGAAGGACTTAATGTCAACAACGCAGGTTTAGTACCCCCCTCCCAAAAAAAGACCCCAGTTAGCAGGCCCTGAGGAAGAAAAACCCTCAGCTATAACCCCTGCCAGCCACAGACAACACAAAGGCTGAAGAAATACCCTTGTGCTGTTCATTCTGGGCTCAGCTTTTAGGAACCAGAAGTCACTAACACTGTTTCCATGTGTCTTTTTTTCTGTAACAGATGGAAAATACACTGTTTTTGGAGTACAGGCCCTTAAATTCTGCCATGAGTACGACTACTTGCTATGCTACCTGTGGATAGGTGTAGGCCGAAAAAGAACAAACATTTAAATAAATACACATATAAGTATTCTACAGTCAGAGCCTTATCCTATGGAGGCCTGTTCACAAGTAAGTCCTAATCAGTCAATGAGACATCCCCAGGTGTCTATACGTATGACTCAACACCCTAAATCATTTGGGAGTGCTGCTGTCTTCATAAGCAAAAGAAAAGGGCAGAGGCAATCCGTTGCCCCATTGACCTACACTGGAGGGAAGTTGTTCATCTTCACCCTTGGGTTTTGCTTCTCTGGCTAGCAATATACTTACATCTGGGCTTCAGTCCAATCACTAGTCTCAGGGAAATCCCATTGAATCCATGGGCTTTCTATACAGTGGACCCTCTACTTAAGGAATTAATCCGTATTGGAATGGTGGCTGCAAGTCGAAAAATCTGTAAGTCGAATCTCCATTGCCCTACAATGCACTGAAAACCGATTAATCCCATAACCAGTGGTTTTTATTCTATTTTTATTCCATTTTGGGTTTTTTCTGGTCTGTAAGTCGATTCTCTGGCTGCAAGTCGAATCTAAATTTTGCAGCCAGAGAAGTCTGTAACTCAAAAAGTCTGTAAGTCGAGCCGTCTGTAAGTCGAGGGTCCACTGTAAATGGTCGCTTACTCACAATGGATCTGCTATCACTGGGACCAGCAGTTGGCTTTAGACTCCACTGCTCAAAAGGAAAAGGGAAATTTCAAGGATCTGGAAGGCAGCTTTTCCCC